GCCCCTACGCATTTACTCGTCATTTTGATGCCAACCATGTGGTCCATGGTTTCTCTTATCAACATTTTTTTTTTCAATGAGGAAGCTGGAGGTGGTTAGGTGATTGTGGATTTGAAACAGCTGTTCCTTTTCTAGCTGCATTTGTTGCTCTTCCATTCGGCGTTGAAAAACTTTCCGTTCGACGTTCTGCGTCAGGAATTGTCGTGAAAATGAGGCCATGACGTCTTGTAAGGGGTCGCAGCGTAGATAGAGGAGTATTGGGTGCGTCACACATGCAAATAAAATAAACAAGTTCTATGATACGCAAACAAATCGTTTGTTATCTAAGAAATAACAAGAATTACCCTTGCTAAAACTATTTACCATCGTTTGTAAGTTTACAAGTGAAAGAGTAAAGTTTTGAAATGTCTTTCAAGGTCTTGACATTATACCATGAAACTGACTTCTTGGTTTATATCAGGATCAGAATAGGTTTTTGTAACCGGTAGAGCCAAAGCTGGAAACTGTCCATTGTAGGGCGACTACTTACTCCGCATATTCCCAGCCACCTGAACACACCACGAGGCGTGGTTATAAGGATTCTGCTCATTTCTGTGTGAAGTTTCATATTAGTCGTAAGGTGCAAAGTGTAATAATTAACTCCCTGGAAAAAAGAGTCCATCTTGAGAATCTGACAGCGGTCAAGTTTAATTTAGTTTATTGAGTCGAGTTTGATTACAGCCAAAGTACAGGGCGTTCAGTCAAGGAGCAAATTTCGCAACACCGCTGACCGGGCCCAACATTCCTCACAGATCGCTAAACTGTAACGGCGCGCGTTTATCAGCGCTAATGACTCATTGTATCAGCAGTTACAGCAGCAGTCTGAGGAATTTTGGGCCGGGTCAGTGGTGTTGCGAAGTTTCCTCCTTAACTGAACGCACTGTACTTGTATCCACATAACGTCAGGTTTCTGTGGTGTGCTGTTTCAGTACATACTGTAATAAATTTGATCAAAGCATTGCTAAGCAACCGCTCGGTAAACACGTTCCAATACACGCGCCACGCAACAGTAGAGGAAGCTGTGTTTTCTATGTGGTTTGCATCACGCAACAATAGAGGAAGCTATGTTTTCTGTATGGACCTTGCGGAACCTATATAACGAGGAACTGTTGTAGCTTAGAATTAGTTCAGTCAAGAGAATGGGAAAACAACGGCACCTACCAGTTCAGTTATCGATAGGAGAATTAGAAGTCGACCTGTGAATACTTAACGTGTCAATTGGGAGCTTTGTGTGTGCTGTAGTACAGTGATATTGGGAGTGTGTGCTTTAGTGAGACTTTTGTAGTTCCTGCGTTGTGGATCCGTTGCCGGGAAACGGATAGTGAAGACCAGCGGAAATAGAAAATTAGAGTGGATTGATTTGTAGTGTGAAAATCAGTAACAGTGTTATAATTATTTGTACTTAAGAATTTTAATTGAGGGCACGCCCTAGCGTAGTTTGTTGAGGGGCTATGCTACAAGCCGGAAGGTCGTGGGTACAAGTCCCGATGAGGTCATGGATTTTTTCTTTCAATTGACCTAATCCGTCCAGCCACACTATGGTCCTGGGGTCGACTCAGCCTCTAACAGAAATGAGTACCAGGAATTAATTTTCCTGGGGAGTGAACCGCGGCCGGCGCGTAAGGCTGACAACCTTACCGCCATCTTTGAGCCGATTGTCTAGATAATGTGGTACCCTCAATGTCTCACAACCTATGGGGCTTTCACGGCCTGGTACAGGGATAGCGTTACTTTTTTTTTTTTACTTTTTACGACTCTTAATCATCCAATAAAGCCAATTACCAATCCAAACCCCGTGACAATACAAACATACGTGCAAACTACAGTACTCTCAGGTATAAGAGGTAGCGTGGCGAATAATAATGGGTTCTGGATTCGATGATTGGGTTTATTGGCGCTTCTATACAATTACTGTCAATTATTAAAGCTCATACAAGTACATTGAACTCCTTCTGAACGACTCCTGTCTGACGAATCTCTATGAAGAATCTCTTGAATTGAAGAATGATCTCCCTTTTATAACTGCCAGAGAACCGAATAGGAAACACCGCCTTCAAGGGTCCCACTACTGCTCTTCATGAATGCGTTGTCTCGGAAACGTACATGAACCGTTGCCTGGCAAATGGATAATTCCATGTCTGGCTCCACTATTCCTGTTTTTAGGCGATATTAATGAGCCGTTGCCTAGCCAATGGTCTTTCCGGCTTGTTTTCACGGGGAACATGTGTTAGCGATCGTTTGTCTGGCAATGGATTATTCCGGCTTTGAGACCTCATATCACAGTACATAGAAACAGTACGTACAAATATTGTACTTATATGCTTTACGTCAATTCGCTTGTTACTGTCACTACCGATACCGCCACTTCTGCACCATTATTATGCATACATTCTCCCGCCCTTTTCACATTTTACATTTTTGCTTCCTCTATCCATTCCTAACTTTGGTCTTCCATTTACATTTAGTTCTAAATAAATATTTTCTTATGAACTTTGTCTTAGTTACATTTTTGCAGTTAATTATTTTCCTGTATGCTATTCATTTCGCCGATGACGGTAGCCGAGTCGTCTAAGGCATGCACTGTCTTCGCTTGCTCGGAAGCCGGGATCGTGGGTTCGAATCCCACTCAGGGCATGGATGTTTGTGTGCGTTTTTCTGTGCGTTTTCACTCGCCCAAGGAGTCCTACCGTATGTGTAAGATCTAGAAAAACCGAAGTGAACGGAGAGTTCATGGAGGTAGGCCTAAGCCCACTGGAGCTGTAGTGCCAAGGAAAAAAAAAGTGCTATTCATTTCATTCATCAGTGGCTCTGCAGCCCTTTGTTGGGCCCTGGCCGCGTTTTCAGTTTATTAATCCTATACACAATCAGCAGGACTCCTTGGGCGGGGGTCAGACCGTCGCAATGCCTCTACCTACACGTAAGACAGCACAAACAGAATAAACATACATAGACATCCATGCCCCGAATGAGATTCGAACCCACGACGCCAGTGTTCGAGCGAGCGAATACAGTTCATGCCTGAGACCGCGTGGCCATTGATCGGCTTCTGTATGCCATGTCCTCGTTTATATTCAACCATTTTCTGCATACAAGTTCTTCTCACCACTTTTTGGTTTTAGGGCATTTTAGGTGTCGGTCAAGTGCCCTTTTCTACGGGGCTCACAACCGCCTGCAACTGGACCCTATCCTCAGCCAGTTGCGTACAGTCCACTACTTTACCTCCTCTAGTGTCGATTCAGATATCATCCTCCCATCTACGCCTAGGTCTCCCAATGGGTCTCTTCCTTTGAGTTTTGGATTACGGTTTCTATTGACATTTCTGATTTTCCGATGAGTGCTACATGCTCTGCCCATCTCATCTTCCTTGCTTGATTTTACCAAGAAGCTTAATTTTACTTGTATTCCCCTACGCTTTTGTATGGTAGAATTGGAGCTACTTTTTTAGGAAGAGGGTCAGAAAGTCCACAGTCTGAATCTGAAGGCCCCTTATATACAGCTTATCTTTGAGCATGATTTCAGAAACCTTCATTTTCGTTGGTGATCTTACTTGGATTAGCCTCTTATGTATTGGAACTGTGTGATTTGATAATTGATATTATTTACTTTATGCAATTCGCCGTGTTGACGGCTCTGGTTATGCACATTCTTTAACAATACATTCCGGTTCCAGGTGGTTGAAAGAACCAGAAATAACCAGCTGCCCATTAATTGTGTGTGTCTGTCCAATTCTGATATTTGGACAGCCTGTTATGGTTCTATGAAATATGTTACGAATAGCATGCCACCCACCTTAATACTACGGTATATTTCTTTTTTTCTGCCATCAATAATGCCAACATAACTTCCGTACGAAAGTATGACACTACCTCCACGTTTAATACTGAAGGATGAGATGGGTAGGGAATATAGCACGTGTGGGGAGAGAAGGAGTGGATACAGGGTTTTGGTGTTAAAAACAAAGAGAAAAATACTAGTAGCTCTTATACTGTATGTACCATTCTTTTAAAGTCCTGAAACTCTGCATTCTGCACACAGAGTGTATTCGTGTGTTTCGCATGGATCTCACAATGTACAGTGATTTTTTTCCCCTAAGAAGCATTGACCGGTTGATTTCTGTAGCGGAGACATGAGGTGTTTCTTGCAGGTACAATCTTAAGTTTTATACCTGTATATAATTTAGGAGAGGGCAGAGTCTGAAGGCTCCCGGAGATGTCAGAGAGTAAAATATGGTAATGAGTCCCATTGGTCTCGGTACCAAGAATCACTATGCTGGCGAGGACCAGCAGGAATTTAAAAGCAATTCAATCCGTTTTTAAAGGGTAAAATGCGAAAGTAAACTCAACTCCAGAAAGATAACCTAAATAAGATATCTTATGCAGCTCTTACTGGCAGATGCCATATTAGTACGTTAATATTAAGGACTCTGGTTATAAGGATGTGAACTGTATTCAGCTGGCTGAGGATAATGTATAGTGACGGTCTCTGTGAACATGGCAATGAACCTGCGGGTTCCATAAAAGGCGAGGAATGTCATGACTAGTTAGTCAAGTTACTGACACCTCAAGAAATCTCTGCTTCATGCAGTTAGTACCTTAAAATAGTTCGCGAAGTCGTTCTTTCACTTACCTTCCCGTATCTCGTGTTGTTTATAAGCTGACACCATCGAGGTACATACCCTCTGCAAATGAAACAGCATTATTAAATGAATCAAGACTGAGTCAGCAGTTTATGTACATCTTGATTTCTGTAGAACTCACATCAAAATATACTAAGTAGGTATCCTATATTATTTGCATAGGAATTTCACTGAAAATATGCATCACCCGACGTATTGTTGCATTCAGTACTCACGGAACTGAGCCCTTCCTGAGAAGCCGTCAATTGTGCAGCTACTCAAGAACTTCCCAGCACTTTATGGAACCCGAAGGTTCATTACCGTGTTCACAAGAGCCCTCCGCCAGTCTCTATCCTGAGCCACATCAATCCAATCCATATAATCCCATCCTGTCTCTCTAAGACCAATTTTAATACTGTTTACCCACCTACGTCTTGGTCTTCCCAATGGTCTCTTTACTTCTGGCTTTACCACCAGTACCCTATATGCATTCCTCTTCGCCCAATTCGTGCTACATGCCCTACCCATTTCTTCCTCCTTGACTTGATCATTCTAATTATACTTGGAGAAGAGTACAAGTTATGAAGTTCCTCGGTCTGCAATTTTCTTCAACCTTCTATCACTTCATCCCTCTTTGGTCCAAATATTTTCCTCAACACCCTGTTCTCAGACACCCTCAGTCTATGTTCCTCCCTTAATGTCAGAGACCAAATTCCACACCCATACAGAACCACGGGCAAAATTATAGATTTATATATTCTAATTTTTGTTTTTAGACAGCAGACGAGAAGACAAAAGGTTCTGGCCTGAATGGTAGCAAGCATTACCCGAGTTCAATCTCCTCTTAATTTCCTCCTGAATCAGGTTTTGATTTGTTATCGTTGTTCCCAAATATCTAAACTGTATCACATTTTTAAAACATTACTTGTTGAACCATATTCGACAAGAATATTGGCTTTCAAATAGTTCGCAGGAAGTATTTCGCTTTTCATTTAACTTCACGACTGTTCCAGTAAGTCGAGGTAGATACGACATACAAAAATCTTCAATTTCACCAATGAACAGAAATGTAAAATTAACGTTTTACGGTTCTTTTTAAGCTGAGAATTTATCATTGCTGCTAGGGGCAATAATGAGGTCGTGATGGTTAATTCGGGCCTCGCGAGGCTTTTGGGCTGACCTGACACCACGCGCTGTATACATTCTTGGCAAGGTCTTTGAACTTAGGGCTCTCGCTCTCACGGCAGCAGGAAGAGCGAGTCAAAACGAGAGGGGTCGTCCCATGTTCCTTCCAGCGAGTCCTAGCCTCTCGCTGAATGGACATGTTCACTTTCAGTCTTACCTGTATTCACTCTCTTGGGCGCCTGCGCACAGCGTCATAGTTACTTGAACTTACCTAAATAGGAACTAGAAGCGGCAGCTATAGAAGAACAAATAGTAAGTTCGGGATAGGAATAGCATCTGAAGGAAGGGCGGTGGGGTTCGAACCACATTTCTCAAAAGACAATGGAAGTATGAAAACGAATGTCTTAAGACAACACTTAATTAAAAAAAGAATGTTGGTAATGAAGGGTCGTACGTTTATATCAACGACACAGCTGATTTGTGAATCTACGTATTTAATAAGATGGGGAGCCGGTAGATGAATATCGTTAAGACTTGAGAAATATCATTTATCCCTACTCAGTCTGATGCACGCATGTTCTCATCATGACTTCTGGGTAAAGCTAAGTCATGCAAGGGCGAAAAGGCGAGTTACTGACGCTCCACATTTGGGATAAGCCAGCTAGGGGAGATAACCCCAACAGAAGACATCAGTCCTACAGAATTGCTGGGGATTTGGCGCAGGGTTAAGAACCCTGTTAAATGGAAAACAAAGACCCAAGAACGGGATGGCTGGAGAAAGTTTTTAGAGTAGGCCAAGACCCATAAAGGGTTGTAGTGCCAATAATAATAATAATAATAATTTTATAAGATGTGGTTTTAAATGTATTTTCAATCTCCCCTTTATTTACTATTACATTTTTATTTATATAGATATAATACATCACTGGCTGTCTATTGTAAATCTTTTATATGGTTTACTGTAAGCTTACATAGCCTTGAAAGTATCTTCTTGGTCTGTGAGGGTTAGACATTACTGGCAAGACCAGCGTTTCTTCCTTTTCCACTACCGTGATTAGAAGGGCTTTGGGCCCACTCAGATTCGTTTTAACTGGTATCTGAAGCTACTTAATTGGGGATAAAGTAATTTTAGCGTCAATCTGACCACTCACCTCCGTGTAGTGCAGAGGACTAAAACATAGGAGCCTTTAAGTCCTGGGACAGTTTCAACTTTGTTGTTACTGTTATTAGTCATCTTCTCCAGCAGAAGTACCACGACATGCTCAAAAGTCACAGACGCCATGTTACGCACAACACGAACTGCTAAACCAGAGGGCAACAGACGCACAGATGATAGGAATCAGGTAGGACTGAACCGTGACCTCAGGAATGGAAGCGATACGCTATATTTCCAGACAGCTCGGCTGGGTAAATGACATCCCGTTTCGATTCCTCAATACACTTATGTCTCATTCTTAAGTACAATATCAATTATAATTTATCTTTAGACATTTCTTTTATTTATACAAACTTATTACTCCTCTACATATTTAATAATCCCCAGGCACTCCAATAACTTGATAAGTAACAGATGACAACGGCCGCTTGTCTTCTCACACCCATTCGGTGATAATTAATAATGAAGAGATAATTAAACAGCTTAAGATTATTGGTGGCAATGAACTCCGCTATAAGCAGCACCCACGCAGAAACCTCTTCTTCGCTCGGATTTCTCTTAAACTTTACTGAAATAACAGAATTACTTGTTTATTATGACAACTTTTATAATGCCCTGTATGTTCCTGTTGCTTCAGTTTATATTATTTTCCGTCGTCTCACTGCATGGCGGTTGCTCCATGAATTAAATAGTGTGACACATATGTCTATTGCTAGACAACGGATCTGTAAACACATTCCCGAAGTATACGCTCTCAACAGTAGAAGGTCATCCATTGCTAGGTAACGGACCAATAAACACGCATTCTTGACAACGGAAGACGGTGTAATCAGGAGTAGTTCAGATCAGAATTGAAGAAGTACAACAGATTACAAAGGAGTTCCGTTGGAAGTCCGAACAGTTCCAGTGGCGTGTACAGTCGGAAGAAGATGACAGTGTGTCAGAGAGCGATTTGTGAACTATTGTAACCAGTTGTATAAAAGTCCAATAAATTCGACCATCAAACTCAACCCCCGTCTTATTAGTCACGCAATCCCCGGATACGTGACAATAGTTACCAAATAATGAAACAACTGTAGACATAGGCAAGTCGTATGGAGGGTGTCAGGAAAATTTGGCCCAGACTTCTGTCGTAGGGGGCCCCAAACATACTCTTGTTTGATTTTTAAGTTTATAATAATTAAGAAGATTGTGGGAATTCCGTTTAATTGAATTGTTAGATTATACTTCCTGTAGAATATAATTCATTATATTAAAATAACACAACAAAGGTCGTTTCTAATTGATATATGCCGACACGGAGTAACAACATACAGTGCCTTCAGTTAAGGAGGAAATTTCGCAACACCGCTGACCCGGCCCAGCATTCCTCACAGATTGCTACTGTAACTGCTGATAGCAGAATGAGTCATTAGCGCTGATAAACGCGCGCCGTTACAGTTACAGCAGCAATCTGTGAGAAATATTGGACCCGGTTAACGGTTTTGCGAGGTTTCCTCCTTGACTGAACATTCTGTATAATGTTATGCTAAAAGGGGACAAAATCATTGCAGCCGTAATGACTGCAATATTTTGCAGAAAATTTCCAGTGTCTAAATGAACGAATTCTTCTTGACTCAATGGATGATAAGTATTGCAACAGTATGTTCAGTTTTAAACGAAATATCAAAAATACAGGATAAAGTACATCTTATGTTTAATCCACCCTCCCGTAACTTCCTCTCACTTACAAGTGTTCTCCACAGTAACATGCTCTCAAATATCCTCAGTTTATTTTGGATTTAGTTAAGGCTTTCATGGTGGTGGCTATCAAGAGTACAATTGTCTGGGCTGTAACTCCACTTAGTTCGGAGACAGGCCGACGTTTCGAAAGAATATGTGGCCTCCATCTTAAGAATAGAAACGTAAACCAAGCAAGACACAGTCAGAAGCAGGTGGAAAACTGTGGGCCCGAGACTCTTAGGCTATTACCAGATTAGACGGCATTTCAACCCAGAACCCTCAATTTATGTTCTTCCCTTATTGTGAGAGGCCAAGTTTCATCTATGGCTCTACAGCCCTTTGCTGGACCTTGGACGCTTTTTTCAGTGTCTTAATCCTGTACGCAATCGATAGGACTCCTTGGACGGGGGATCAGCTTGTCTCAAGGCCGCTACCAATACACAGAATAAACGCATGCAGACATCCATGCATTTAGTGGGATTCGAACCCACGACCCCAGCGTTCGAGCGAACGAAGACAGTTCATGCCGTATACCGCGGGTCCACTGTGATAGGCAGGCAAATTTTCGTACCCAGATAAAATTATTGGTTTATTTCACCATCATCATCATCATCATCATCATCATCTGCAAGGGATTGCGACGTTACACCGCTCCATTTTCAGACATCAAACTTGGGTAGATTCTAACGAGTTCTGACGATGGTATATAACACTCAGAATTACTGGGTTTGTGGACTTTGCCCATCGTCAGGTATTCTAAAAACTAGAGAACACAACGTTTTGGAAACTGGATCTACTCAGTTGGGTCCTTTGGAAAGAGCTAACCTCCATTTCTAGTGTTCAGAATTTTGGACGATGGGCAAAGTCCAAAACCCCAGTAATTATGAGGATCAAGTTTGGAGTTTGAGGATTACGAGTAGTTTTTTTTTCTCTCTCCTTGAGCATACAAGCAACCTGTTGCAGAACCCCCTATGTTAGAGAACCAGGATTCGATGAGCATAATAGGGCAGAGTATGTAGCACACATGGGATGAAGAGGAATACATGAAAGGTTTTGGCGGGAAAGCCAGAAAGAAAGAGGCCGCTAGGAGGACCTAGACGTAAATGGGAGGATAATATTAAATTGGATCTTAGAGAGATGGGTAGGGATGGTATGGACTGGATTTGTCTGGCTTAGGATAGGGACCAGTGGCGGCCACCTGCGACGACTGTACCGAATCTTCGCGTATTATAAAACTTTTGTTAGGTTCTTGAGTATCTAGCAACTGGAAGCTTCTCTAGGAGTCTGCTATATATAGTACGTGAGCTAGTTAGTTCTTATCCTCTTCATAAATGTAATTTTGGTGCTGTAATTCCCAAGTATTTTAACTTTGCTCTGTTTACGAATGATTTAGTCATTGTCTTCAAATTATGACCTTCCTGATTTTTTGTGGAGTGATATGAACATTTAGGCCTAAAATTACTTTTAGCTGAACATACTTATATTACATACTGCATTCCAGAGAACTGTCCATTGTTCCTCACAGAAGCGCTTTATGTGATACGAAAACTGGGATTGTGTTCAGTTAACCCTTTTGCTGGAAATTCTAAATTTCACCATGCTATGTAACATTGTAAGTCTGAATTACTAGGAACGAAAAGGCGGAGCTGTATATCTGTAGGCTTAGGAATTTCCTGTCAAAAATAATATGGCCCCAGATGAGGCCACAGCATTCTGCCTCTTCACAAAGAGTAGGTCCAACATACTCCTTAGAAATGACCGTGAGGAACTGCTATATATCGTCTCGATGCCACGGGTTTCTGACATAAATCAGTTTTATTAGAAATATTTTTCTCTGTGTCCTTACAGTTACAGAAATATATATTGCCTGAACGTGCTTCTGTTGTCTCCTGTTATTTTATATTGTGAATTCAAGAGGTGACATGGAGGTCAGCATTACTCACTACAGCTGATATCGTAAAATAAAGAACATTATACTAATGTTTTCTTGTATCACTGCGCATGTCTGCGCGGATGAACAGGATTTCTCATAAAAGAGAACTGCAATGAAAACCTGTTTTGTACAAAACGTAACAATGAGGACATATGTGAACCTTCAGCTTCAGACACAGTGGCTGTTCAAGAAGTTGTAAAACAGGAATAATGTGGTCATGACATATGATTTATTTGTACCACTCTAAGCAACCTGTAACGAAAACAGGAATATGATTTTAGCCCTGATATTACACATGTTTAAATTGCCTACGACTGTGGTTATTAAATCGTGAATCAAAGGTAGCCGTTCACGGTAGCCAGACGATCTAAGGCACATACTGTCTTCGCTCCCTCGGAAGCCGGGATCGTGGGTTCCAATCCCACACAAAGCATGGATATTTTGTATGTGAATATGTTTATTCTGTCTTTGTGTTGTCCTGTGTTTAGGTAGAGGCATTGCGACGAGCTGATCACTCGTCCAAGAATCCTCGACACCGTAAGGTATAAGAGGAGCGGATTAAGTAAGTAAAAAAAAAAGAATCAAAGGCAAAGCCAAAAGAACTCGACAGGTAATTTTGTGACTAATCGCGGAAAGGAACAATATTCTTATCACTAGAATATATGGCAGAAATAAAACACATAAAACCTCCTGTCTTTCACCTACTTGTTTTCCAGCGTCTTCTGTGTACCAAAAGATTGTGAAGATTTTATTACGGATGTCCCACTCTGCCAAAAATCTATGATCTGACTTTTATATTCCCTTGGAGTGAGAATCTGGGAAAACAATGGAAGAATGAGAATTCAGTTTGTAAATAATTGTATAAACGAGATGGACAGTTAATGAATGAATGGGGAAGATTCAAAGTGGAGGGAACAAATGTTGCTGGCGCGCATTCTGGACAAAAGTTATGAATGGTATTGAAGTTAAGAAATAAGATCCAGTTAGACCTCATAGACAAAAATATATGACTGATCTAACTGAACCTGAAATTAGCATTTCCCATAATACAAGCTATATTAAAATTGGCTAAAGCCCAACTGAAAACATTTTATTTAGATGGAATCTGGAAATTTGTAGATCGTTGAGCCAAGTGCCTCGAAAAGCAGAGGAAAGTAAGACACGCCTACTTACAGTGCGATTGTTTTGCCATTATTTATTTTTTTCCCCTCTTTTTTTTTTATTGCTAGTGGGGTGGGACTGAGTCCCTTGTACTGCGGCCACTTCTGGCCTATTGTACCAGCCCCAGATGATAGGTGAGGGTGATTGTGGAGCAATTGGTGGAATGAAGATTGGCAGGGGAAAACCTGCCCCAGCGCCACTTTGTCCACCACTAATCCCACCTGACCAGACCTGGGATCGAACCTGGGCCGCCG